ATTTTTCATTGTTACTTTTCATTCTCTTCAAAATATGTTCTTTGGATGATTAAATTATCAATCTTTTTTTTTTTCGCCCTCCTTTAGTTTTAAAACTTCCATGGCCCAGGCAAAGAATTTATGAGTAAGACCCCCAAAACAAATACAGAACAACAAAAATAAATACGTGGGACTTAATGAAACTAACAACTTTCTGCACAGCAAAGGAAATAATCAACAGAGTAAATAGACAACCTAGAGAATGGGAGAAAATATTCACAAACTATACATCTGACAAAGGGCTAGTATCCAGAATCTACAAAGAACTTAAACAAATTGGCAAGAAAAAAACAAATAACCTCATCGAAAAGTGGGCAAAAGACGTGAATAGACTCTTCTCAAAAGAAGATAGACAAATGCCAACGAACATATGAAAAAATGCTCACCATCACTAATTATCAGGGAAATGCAAATTAAAAGCACAATGAGATACTACTTTATGCCTGTCAGAATTGTCATTATTAAAAAGTTAAATAAAAAAAGATGTTGGAGTAGTTGTGGTCAAAAGGGAATGCTTACACACTGTTGGTGGGAATGTAAACTTGTAGAACCATTATGGAAAGTAGTATGGAGATTCCTCAAAAAACTAAAAGTAGACCTACCATTCGATCCAGCCATCCCACTACTGGGTATCTACCCAAAGGAAAAGTCGTCATTTTATTAAAAGAGACACCTGCACCCAAATGTTAATGCAGCACAATTCACAATAGCAGAGATATGGAATCAACCTAAGTGCCCATTACCTTATGAGTGGATAAAGGAAATGTGGTATATATTAATATATACCACGGAGTACTACTCAGCCATAAAAAGGAATGAAATGCAGCAACTTGGATGGAACTGGGGAATATCATCCTAAGTGAAGTATCGCAGGAATGGAAAAACAGATACCACATGTTCTCACTTATACGTAGGATCTAAAGGAAGGATCTATATGGTCATAAAGAGCAGTAATAGACATTGGAAACTAAGAAGTGGGGAGGGTGAGAAGGAGGTAAGGGATAAAATCTACCTATTGAACACAATGTACACTATTCTGGTACACTGAAAGCCCTAACTTCAGCATGATACAATTTATCCACCTAACAAAAAACACTTGTGCTCCCTATGTTTTTGAAATTAAAAAAATGTAATACAGACAGTCCTTCATGATGGTTCGACTTATGATTTTTTGACTTTGTAATGGTGCAAAGGGGTATGCATTCAGTAGAAACCATACTTTAAATTTTGAATTGTGACCTTTTCCTAGGCTGGCTATGTGCCATATGACTGCAATCCCCAACCCCCAGGCTGTGGACCAGTACCGGTCAGTGGCCTGGGAAGGGGCCACAGAGATCCACCGCCCCCACCCCCCACCCAGTCCATGGAAAAATTGCCTTCCATAAACTTAGGAAATGTGGGGATAGAGGGGGAGATGCATAGCAGGAGGTGAGCACCCCACTCCTCCTCCGCACCCCCATGTGGAAAAATTGTCTTCCATGAAACTGGTCCTTGGTGCCAAAAAGGTTGGGGACCACTGCCATATGATACTCTCTGTTGCTGTGGGGCAGTGGCAGCCAACCAGAGCTCCCAGTAAGCCTGTGATCAAGAGGGTAAACAACTGATACTCTATAAGGTGTTACGTTGCCAGTGTTTTTTTGAAATTGTGTTTTGTGTTTTTCCTATCCCATCATGTCTACAAAATGCCCATCTGTATCTCCCGCTTCTGGAGAAAATTACTCCAGAGAAAAAACTAAATTGCCCAGCATGAAGGCAGCATGAAGGCTGGTTTTAATTTGCATTTCCCTGATGATTAGTGATGGTGAGCATTTTTTCATGTTTGTTGGGCATTTGTCTATCTTCTTTTGAGAAGAGTCTGTTCATGTCTTTTGCCCACTTTTTGATGAAGTTATTTGTTTTTTCTTGCCAATTATTGAATGGCCACTGTACATCAGTTAGGACTTTTGCAATGCATGATCTCAACCATCTTGAAAAATAAGAAGTGAATTAGTGATGCAGTGAAATCATTAGCATTAGTTAAATCCACTGTCATTAAGAAGAAAAGAGCTGATCCAACCAATGATATAGAAAAATTGTCATGTGGGTGGAAGACCAGCACAGAAGTGCATACTGCTTAGCTTACTGACTATCTGGGCTAAGAGAAAAAATCTTTGATATGCTAAAAGAGCATGCTAATTATGTGACATATAGGCAAATGTTTATAGCAAGTCATGGGTGGTTTCAACATTGCAAATGGCATCATAATTTTCATAATGTGAAGGTCAGCAGCGGGGCAGCAAGTGCCAATTCTGAAGGTGTGAAGCAAATTTAAGGCAGGCGAGGCTACAAGATGATGTTTGGTTTATTAGATGTGTTAAATGCATTTTTGACTTATGATATTTTAAATTTATGATAAATTTATCTGGATGTAACCACATGGTAAGTTGAGGAGCACCTATGTATACTTCCAACTGTTGGGTGGCTCTTATTCTTTCTTTGATTTTTTAAAATTTTCCTTATTCTGTACTGCAATCTAGATAGTCTTTAAAATGTAAACTACAATTCACTTGCTCTTTTTATCTCTTTCTAATAAATTCTCCATTGTCTTAATAACTTCAAAAAAACAAAACAGAACAAAACAAACCTTCCAGCAATCCCACCTCTACCTGCGCCACACTTGACTTCCACAGCAGTTGCTTCCCATTTTGATTTTCTTTTCCATCTATCTGTATCTTTTCATGTTGTTTTTTCCTTGTCTGAAGTGGGAGAAATGGAAAAGGGGTGGCAGGATTAAGCGGTGGATGCGGGGAGTAGAGGGTGTTGAAATGTGCTAAAAATTTGCTTAACAAGTATTTTTACCAAATATTTATGTTCTTCATCCCTGTCGAGGCTTTTGCAATTTGGAAGGCTTTTCCATATTATGACTGGCTTGCTCTCTGCTTTCTTCTCCTCACCCTCCTTTTTTGCAGTACACCAGCTTCTCTTGAGAATCCAAATAGTAGAGGAATACATAGCTAGCATAATGATAAGATTAAAGTTAATTACTATCACACCTTAGCATTTTCTAAGACTCCTGTATCTCAGAAGAAAAATCCCTAGTATGAAGTGATCAGCAAACTGAGCTGCCTGCTTACTCCCACTGAAAACTCATTCTTTCCCAGGTTCATTGACAAATTCTAGGGCTTCAACATAGATGGCTAGGACCACCAACACCCTTCTCCCCCAAACTCTTTGACTCTGAGCTTCCTCAACATCTAGACTCATTGTGTACAACTTTTTCCCCACTTAGGTCACTTAAGAAATTATTGGAATTTTTTGCTATGAAAAATTTTCAGAAAAATAGAACGTGAAACCATGTGTGTTCATTTTTTCTTCCTTAGGATTTGTGCGTCTGGTTGGAGGAGATGGACCCTGCTCAGGGCAAGTGGAAGTGAATCCTAAAGGAGATTGGGTTCCAGTTTCTCATGTGAACTTCACATTTCCCACTGCCCAGGTCATCTGCCGGGAGCTGGGGTGCGGCAAGGCTGCGTCTGTCCTGGGACACGTGCCCTTCAAAGGGGCTAGCAGACAGGTCTGGGCTGAAGAGTTCCGATGTAAGGGGCAAGAGTCTAGCCTGTGGTTCTGCCCGAGAGCACCCTGTCCTGGAGGGACTTGCCACCACAGTGGGGCTGTTCAAATCGTCTGTTCAGGTGAGACTCAGGGCAGGACTTTAACCTCCTTGCATGCTCTGTTGGGGTAAGAAGAACATGAGATTTTGCTGAATTCCTGTCTTCTCCTACCAGATTATACAGAAGTCCGGCTCATGAAAAATGGCACCTCTCAGTGTGAGGGACAAGTGGAGATGAATATTTCTGGAGACTGGAGACCACTCTGTGCCTCCCACTGGAGTATGGCCAACGCCAATGTCGTTTGCCGTCAACTGGGCTGTGGGGTCGCCATCTCTACCCCAAAAGGAGCATACTTTGTGGAAGGAGGTGATGGGATCTGGAAAGACCGATTTCACTGCTCAGGGGCTGAGCCCTTCCTGTGGCATTGCCCCGTGACTGCCCTGGGTGTTCCCGACTGTAATCGTGGAAACATGGCCTCTGTGGTCTGCTCAGGTAAGAGAGAGGTAAGGGCTGACTGGTACTCAGGATGCTCCTTAAGCAAAATGTCCCTCAGAGCAGAGAATGTGAAAAACTGACCTCAAATGCGAGACAGTCTGTGTGTGAAAAATGGTTCTTCTAATTGTTTATTCATTTTTCAAGTCCGGGAAGAAGTATTAAGAGGGATATCTTTAAAAAATAAATGTTTTTATTTAAATGCAATTCATAGTGAAAAGTATATAAACAATAACTGTAGCTCAATGAATCATAACAGTATGCATTCAGCCATGTAACCCCAAGCTGGAGTTGCAAAGAGAACATTAGCAGTAACCAGGGGCCACCTTCCCATTCTACCAATTACTATTCACTCCTTCCTTTCCAATGAACACCACTCTCCTAACTTCTACAACCATAGAATATTTTTGTCGTTTTTTGAATTATATGTAAAATCTTGCAGTATGTCCTTTTTTGTGTCTTTTTGGACTCAATATTATGTTTGTGATTCATCTATGTTTTTCATTATAGAAGTGTTTCATTCATTATTATTGCTGTAGAGTATTCCATTGAATGACCACCTGACCATGTACTGATCCATTCAACTGATGGTGGGGATTTGAGTTCTTTCCAATTCTTTCCAAAATTAATATATACTATTTGTACTTTTTTATGGGGTACATGTGGTATTTTGTTACATGCGTAGAATGTATGATGATAAATTCTTAACTATTAAAATTAGTGATGTTACCAATACTGTGATGTAATGACATTTGGTGCAAATATACATGCATTTACTTTGGGTGTTTGACACTTAGCCTTTTATTCCACTCTCTCAATTGTGTTTGTTGGTGAGCCAAGTTCTTTATTTTAATATAGTTCATCAAATTTTTCTTGTAACCACGGTGCTTCTTATGTCCTTTAAAAGAAAACTGTCTACCCTGAGATTCTCAATAATTTCTTCTAAAGTGTCTTCTAGAAGTTTGGTTATTTTTATTTCACATACAATTGTACAATTTGTGCATGAGATATGCATACAATTTCATATTATTATGTGGATATCCAATAGACAGAGGATTCTTTCCTGAAAAGATGTTTCCCCACTACAGTGCCACCTTTGTCATAAGCAGAATCCATGTATGTCTGAGATGTTTTCTCTCTATTCTACTCCATTGTACCAGTGTTTATTGTTGCACCAATGCCACACTTCTGAAATTATTAACTTTGTAGTAAATCTTGTTATGTTGTAAAATAACTCTTCTAACTTTGTTGTTTTTCTTTCCCAGTGTGTTGATCATTCTTGATCTTTTCCTCATAAAGTTTAGAATTAGGTTGTCATTTTCACCAAAAATAGCATGATGGTATATTGATTGAGATTAGATTTAATTACAGATGAAATTAGAGATAATTGACTGACTATATTGAGTGTTATAATTCATCTAGATGGCTGAACTGTTTCTGTTCATTTGTTTACATCTTTAATTTCTCTTGGAGATCTTTGATACCTTTGACTAGGTTGCCTCCCAGGCATTTTATCTTTTTATGTTGCCGTGATT